TTTAAAGCTGAGGCAAATAGAGCATGCTCCTAATTGCCCCTTAGGGTACGCTCTAACGCGACGCGAACACCTAGTCGCCATATTGTTTCCGGTGACGCGAACGTATTAGAGCGCGTTGGAGCGAGTAGGAGCATGTTGGGGCATGCGACGCGAACAAACCCATTGGCTGAGTTCAGCAGAATTCAGCGCTTGGCAAGCGCTTTGCATTTATTGTCTGTGATTGGTCTGTTCTTGTAAATCTATTGGAACTATGAGAGTACAAGCCAATGGCAAGCAATAATAACAAAGCGCTTGCTAAGCGCTGAGTTCTGCTGAACGCAGCCATTGTTTTTCAATCGCACTGTGTCCAATTGTACCGTGGTAACCACGGCGTGGTTAAACGGATACGCTCGTTTCTGAACGTAACCAAACTTTAATCCATAAACACATCAAACCAAACCAGAATTAAACTCTAAAAGAAGAATTGTTTATGTAATACTTGTTAAAAAGGTTTGTTTGATAATTGATAATTTAATAACAAACTTCTAGAATATCTGCGTAGTCTCGTTTTGTTAATTAAAAAACCAAAAATAGGTTAAGCAATTAAACATATGAGCACGTAAACTTTGTTGATTACTCTCTCTCTGTCTCAATTAAAAAAACTAAATTTTTATTGTGAAATTGTGCACTTTACGTCACTTGTTCAGCTTTTACTACTAAGAATGTTATTTTTTTAGATGTTAACAGCAAAAGCAAAGATAATTAAAAGTGGCGGAGCTGAACCTGATCAATTCGAATTAAGCATTGCCCAGGCTCTCCTTGAATTGGAAATTAATAGCGATCTCAAATTGCAACTGAGAGAGTTATATATTACCAAAGCTAGAGAAGTTGAAACAATCAATAAAAAGGTAAAATGTTACTTTTTTTATTTCTCATATTTTATCCATGTTTGTCTTGAACATTTAATTGTTTTTAAAATCTTATAAACTTTATATATACTGTTATGTACAAGAGTAATTTTTTCATTTTTTATAGTGTATTATTATATATGTGCCTATGCCAAAGCTGAAAGCATTTCAGAAAATTCAAACAAGACTGGTACGTGAACTGGAAAAAAAATTTTCTGGAAAGCATGTGATGTTTACTGGAGAACGTAAAATTTTACCCAAGCAGACAAGAAAATCACGTACCAAAAATAAGCAAAAACGTCCAAGAAGGTAAAAACAAACATGGATGTATATATGATTGGATCAATAGACTATAATTATATTAGGATATTGATAGAATTTTTAGCAGAAATACATATAAAATATTGCATTTAGTAATAGAATTAATCTACTACATTACATAAATTATTGTACAGCCGTACTCTGACTAGTGTTTACAATGCTATATTGGAAGATTTAGTATATCCTGTTGAGATTGTTGGTGTTCGTACTAGAGTTCGACTTGATGGGTCCCAGCTTATTAAAGTCCATCTTGATAAAAATGAGCAAACTAATATTGAACATAAGGTATAATTTGTTTATTATTTTTATATTTTTCTACACAGAATATTATTTTTGAGACATGACATATGGTTAGCCACAATATATTGTCTTTTGACAGGTTGATACTTTCACTTCAGTGTATAAACAGCTGACCGGACGGAATATCACATTTGAATTCTCTGAATCTTATGTATGATAAACAGACAAAGGAAAATAAAAGTATTTTGTAATCCATAAGTTTATCACTTGTTACACATTTTACTTTCTTTCTAAATCTTTCTTTAAGACTATTTAAATTAAAAAAGAAAATTAATAAAAGATCAAATAGAATTGAAATTATTATCAGTGCGTATATAAATGTTTGTTCTATTTAAAAACAAAATTTTATAAGTTTTAACCTTATACTTTAAATCTTCATAAAATCTAATGATTCGTGTAAATAAAGGATAACTCAAAAATCAATTAGTGTTAAAATTGATAAAAAAGCCATGTCAAAATTAAATTTATATCTATAAGTTGTTAAGTAAAAAATGACAAAAAATTAAAAGAAGTCAAAAAGTAAAATTATAAGAAAAGTTAGTCAAAGATCAAGTCAAAAAAATTGGAAAATTTTAAACAATTAGAATTAGATCATTACAAAGGTTTCTTTTTTTTGAACATTTCGTTAATTTGAAGTGTGTGTGTGTGTATGTGTATATGTGGTGTGTGTACACAAGTCTCGTGAAAAACGGTAAAACATCGCCGTGTATTAGTACTAGCATCAGCTGGTATTAGCTGATATAATTCCAACATCATGGCGTTCACGTTGTGGACACTTTTCGAAGCGACTTTGTTGTGTCTAAATGCGGTTTGTGTTTTGAACGAAGAAAGATTTCTCGCTAAAGGTAATAAATTAAACATTATACATACTAATATTTTAATTTATTTTGTTTTTTTTTTTTGTATTACATGTAGATATTTATAGTTTGAAATAACCAGTGTTATAGGTTATAATTTTATTAAGGTGAAATAGCTTGTAAAATTTCTCATATATATTAAAAATGATTTTAGAATCTTTATTTTAGTTGGTTGGGCATCTTGGCAGAATGTACAAGGATTTGGTGAGCCTCCAACACCTAGATCACAAATATTAAATCTCATTAAGTCGATACGAACTGTAATGAGAGGTATGTATTACGAAATAAAAATTACCGACTTATTTAAGGACTTAATAAATGTTACAATTTCTCCATGTAATAATTTTCAGTTCCTCTAATATTTATCAATATCTTGACAATAGTTGTGAAACTCATACTTGGGTAACAGAGAAGCACAATGTAAATATAACAATATGTTGTGTGGGAATCAACGATTGATTATAATATATACAAAATTATATCAAATTATTTTTATAATATAATAAGCAAAAAAACAAAGTTCTTATTTATTTTTCATACATATGTATGTAAAAAAGACATCAATTCTATATTACACAACTGCTGCATTTTGATGTTCACTGCCAGTACTAAAAATCTATACTTCATATCACATGTGATATAGATTTTCAGTACTGGATATTAGTATGTAACCAATATTCTTTTTTTTCTTATCTGTTTTTTTTATCAATGATAGGGTAAAAGACCCAATTACTGTCATCCTAAGCTATTTTATTTAAAATATTAAATAAATCCTAAAAAGTTATGCATGAAAACAATCTAACATAGAATTTTAAGTGCAATTAATATAACAAAAACTCTCCAGCACTCAACATTCGTATCTCATTTCTTTCATTTTAGGGGTGACAGTAATAGCTCTCGCATCGTTCTTTTTTAATTATTAAATTTATAAATAAAAAAATAGAGATTTTGAGAGGCGGTATTATTTTGTTCCTTATATTAGAGACATCGAATAATACCAGATAAGAAGAAAAACACATGTTTTTGATAAATAAGTAGTAAAAACAATTCGCTAACGCCAGAGTTTATTATTCAGGTGACAGTAATTGGCCCTACTTAATAGTAATTCATAGTTTAAGAATATAAATAGAATATATATCTTTTGTGTGTAATATATATTTTTACTTATTTTTCGCACATGTACGCAATAATAGTTTTATAACATGTTCATACACACACGTACACACACAGTATATCTACATGTAAGAAATTACGCAAAATTAATTTCATATTTGTTTTGAATAATAAAAGTACTGAAGTAAAACAACGTATCTCTATTCGACCCTTTTGTAAAATATTATAAAAAATAATCAACAAATATAGATACTTGTTTCATCTTCGATATTTGCTTTTATTTGATTATATATATATATACACACACATATACATATATAAAGTAAGCTTTCTTGTATTATAAAACTAAGACGACTTTTATTTTTGAGCGACTACTGTTCAACATCTTTTCGTGCCAAAAATAATGCCAGACTTTCTAAGCCCGATGCAATATTTTGTTCAAAATAGTATATATGTAATGAATAAGAATCAATTAGAGAAAGTTTTATGTCGGTAATGATTTAATATTGAATGCAGAGAATATAAGTAATACTTTTTACCAATACTCGCTACTTGAATAAAATCGGCAGCTCAGAAATTATACTTCCACTCGTTTTAATTATTCTTTCTCGAATCTTTTGAAACATAAATCAATTGATCAACGGCCGGCGCGGCGCGTAAATAATCCTCGCGGAAGATGCGACCAGCCGGACAAGTCTCCGCGGCGCCTTCCTTCTTACGGATTTACAAACAAAGTAACAGGACGAATGATTTTCCCGTAACTTTCTCCCCTTCCTCGCTTTCTCAGGATGCAAAACGCACCTTACGAGATAATCAATGACTATTACACCGGATTTGAGACTTTGCTATGTGTGTGTGTATATATATATATTTGTGTGCACACGCGCGGATACATACATGAATACTCGTTAACATTAAACGTGACTTGCACGAGCGTGCGTGCGCGTTTATTGCAATACTTGATTCTGTATTGCTAAGAAGTTGCATTTCCTCCTCAGTGAATTCTATCACGTTTTTTCTGTCAACATATTTCTTTCAGTCTTATGTATAGGATTTTTTTTTAAGAAATAGGAACAAATGTAAACAGTTTTGCGCTATACGCAATTATATTTGATCATGCTGATTACGAGTAATTATAATCTTAAAATTATGTTTTCTTTTTATATAAATGCCACAAAACATCAAATAAAACTCCCAATTTTACCATATATTTCTGCACGTATCGTTCAGAGAATTTATGGAAATGAGGAGTAGAGGCTCTACGTGAGGTAACGTTATAACGGCGCGATCGTTTTTACTGCGGGTATTACGATCTTATTCGATGCTGCAGGTTGCAAAGTCGATGCGGTTGTGCAAGCATCTTGTCCGACTTACCATACGTCGCTCGGTACCAACGCTAATCCATTCGCTTAGTTTCACATTAGTTCCGGCGTTTTGTTTTCAATAAATTGGAGATAAATAAAAGTTTTATATATACAATATATATATAATAAAAATAATAGAAATAATTATTGTCATTATAGATTTTAAACAGTTCATATTAGTATATATTAAAGTATCAAATAAATGTTTTCTATTTATTTGTATTTTATAATAAAACACATAATCATAAATCGATTTATTTCAAATATTCGCGCGGGGTAGATTGATTAAATAAAACATATATAACTTGACAGATACATAATTTGATAGCGCACAAGTTTACGTCATGTGTATTCGTAGTTACAAAAAAAAAAGAAGAGAATAGGTTGCCTAATTGTAAGAGGAAAGATTCGCTGAAGTTGTCTCTTTGATTCCTTCAGATTAGCGCAAACGTTAACGTTCGCGATGTTGTTGAGCAACGCGCGTGCTTCTGTTAAAAGTCTCGAGCAAAAAATGAGACTAGCGAAAGTACCGGCGAAAAAACTAGCAGCCGCATGTGGATCCGGTGTTTTACGATGTCTCGATAAATGTGCTTCCCATAATTGATACCGCGGATGGTATTGTGTGCACTTCCTCTCTCGACGTCTCTCTTTCTTTCTTTCTCTCTCTTTTTCGCACGGGTAATATTTTTTTCTATGGTCCGCATAGATTGGTTCTGCCGATTTGTACTATTAAACGATCTGTTAAACAATTACTATTACTATTAAATTATTACTTTTGTACTATGAAATGATCTGTTAAAAAATTTAAGATTTTCAAAAACAATTTATTTTTTCTTCCAGAGTTTATCAGCAGCGCAAGTAGAATGTTTGCTTTTTTCACCTAAATTTACTCGCGATTGCCTCATTTTATTACCGACAAAAAATGAGAACAATTGTCAAACGCGCGAAGTAAATCGTGTTTTTGTAACTTTATCTCAGGTGCGTATTTTTCTTTTTTCTCACGCTGGTGAGGACGAATTCAAGCGCACTTCTTGCAAAATTCCACCGAGAATCTCACATAGCGAATAGGTAAGTATACTTACATACATGCGCTTCTCTGTCTCCCTTCTCTTTCTTCTTTGGTGATCTCACCGTACTCCCTGACTCGATGTCGGCACTTTCCCTAGTGGACGTCGCAGGTGAGTCTTTCGGGACAGATAGACCTGCTGATATACCACGCTTTCTTATACGTCTCTCACGGAACCACTTTTAATGGGCACTTTGTAGTAGAGTCATCAGTCGTGCGTCGTCTTGCCAAGTGGCGCAACGAAACACTATATGCGCGCTGGCTTTACGTGCTTGTGACGCTTCTTTACATATGGATAGTTTGTATTTTTAGCAGATATAAGATTTTCCAGAATTTTAAAATCGTGGCTTCTTATGCAATTATACAAAATACGCATAAATGTTGAAGCATTCAATTTTCTCGGCAAACGGATTCAGCGTTAGAAAATAACTTTCTTACGCTGAAGTTACCGCTGATACGAAAATTATTCCAAGCGTATATGACATTTCTGACATCTTATACGTAAAGCGTTCATTTTTATTGCTCGTTATTTGTAGTAAACTCGCGTTTGCATCTCTTACTCTTATTTTATAGTTGGTTTCATTGACTCTAAAGACGCCTCAGCAACGCGAAAACAAGTCTTGTTGATCTACGTACAACACAACAAGATAGATAGATAGATAGACGTTGTTGGCACGAAACAGCACTATTTATCGAAAATGACTTACAGTTAGTTTATGTCTGATAAAAAAGATAGGATATATTTTTCTTTATTAAAGTTTCTTGGGCATAAATGCATATTAGTGCACTTGAGTGATTTTCTTTGAATCTGAATCTTTTAAAATATATTATTAACAATATTTTCTTCATATCGATGCTTCCTTTTTACCTGATTCTTCGTATTTCAAGTCCGTACCGTTGAAACGCAATATTAATATTTTCTAGTTATATAATCTAGCCTAACGTACTTATAATTTATGAAGTTTCTTACACGCATTAAACGTCATCTCGTAATATCTCAGAGATATATGCGGAATTCCGAGAAAACTTATCCGTGTGCAGTTATAAATTACTGTGTGAATTACTTAATTCTCAAAAAGAAAGTAAAACAGGTAATAATAGTTCTGTCAATAATTGAAGATGAAATATAATTTCACTTTCTAGTTCTCTCTCTCTTTCTTTAGTTGTATCAAAGAATGAGTCGTATTACGACTTCTAATGATAAAAGTTTATATTTAATAAATGTTTTGCTTTGTAATATACTCTTGTTTGTATATTTGTGTCCACTTGTGACGCAAATTACTATATTCTGTGTAACAGAGAAAATCTAAATAGTTAGTACACATAACTTGTCATTGTGAATGCAGATCATATCGCGTTACACAAAACTATCAGTGATGAATGTCGTCATAAATGTTTAACTGCGTTATTCAAAGAACATAGTAATTAAGTATTTTTGAGATGTCAATATCTATAAATAGCTATATTTGATAAAATAACAAGACTTAATTAACTTAGTAAATATATGAGTCACGTTTTCTCATATCAATTATAGTTTGTTACAAACAAATTTTAAAATAACAATTATATTAAAAAGAAGTATTTTATTAAACAAAATTTATATAATACGAAATCAAATATACTTTGTACTACTTAGAAACTGAAATAATGTTATATGTTTTATATCTTGTCCACTTATTATCACCTTATAAGATTATACAGAGAAATTTTGATAATTATTTATTAATCGCCGATTACTTAGTATATGCATTTCATTATGAAGAACGGATAATAATCTTTGCCTTCTCTTTAAAAATAGTATTCTAGCGAAATTTCTGAGCACACAAATCTACCAGCATTGCAATCCACTCGCAAGCCATATGCTTACATCATCTCGTCGCAATTAAGGAACTCGAAGCTTAGATGTTAATCTCATGTATAACACGAACAAGAGAATAGAGCTCATGATTGTAATAGCGGTGTTATAAAGCCTTTCGAAAGTATAATGAAGAAAGAGATTCCAACATCCCTCCCGGACATCCTTTGCTTAAATCAAATATCCCGGCGAATATTGTACTCATCTCTCAATGCAATCGTAAAGTCAAGCCACTTTCGAATCCTGACTGTTGGTCAGATGCTTGTCTCACTCTCTTTCTCTCGTAACATGATGGCCTTTTGCGTGTAGTGGTTCTACTTTGCGTGCTCGTCAAGCATTTACGTCATGCGCAGGTGAAGAGAATCCCTCCCCACCTCAACGAAGATAATGCGATCCCGCTGGATGGTGGTTGTGCGAGTGAAAGGAGAAAGGCGCCGATCTCTCACGCGAAACGCGTCATCGAAGATAAAGAGAAACGATGTCTACGGAAGATATCGCGAAGCCGAAAAAAACCATCCGTGCGAAGAAACCTAATGTCTTTGGCGACGGTCGTGAGGTCATGTACGTTATAAACCATAACAGGGAACAATCATGATCGGTTAATGGAAGAAGAATAAGATTAAAAACCGCAAAGAAAAGACTAGTCAGAAGCGAATCGTGCCGAGGCAATAAAGAGAAAAAATACGCAAGGGTTTTTTAACGGTGGCGACGTTTTTTTTTATTCTTTTTTCTACAAAAAAGCCTTTATACAAGTAAAAAAGATGCGTGGTTAAGGAGTAGAGCGATAAAATGTATACAAAAATAATGTGTATTCGTAGCTTTGTGTATGTGTCGCCCGACACGTTGTGGCGTCCGCTCCGCAAACCAGCTTGTTTTTCCACCGATGAACACCATCGTGATCTCGCGAGCGGATAAATTTCTATTCTTATCCTGCGCGAAGTCGAGTATACGTTTGTGCGAGCTATTCGGGGAGAAAACGGGTCGGAAGACTGTTTTTCATGATCTACTGACTTTGGATCTCCTGATTTAGTCTTTTAAGGTCTTCCGATGTTTTCCGCGTCGTTCGCAGTTGAACTCAACCCTTCGGCGGAACATAGCCAAATCACGCAGTGAACGCTACGCGCGACGGAATTTTATTTACAGAGAGCGCTTTTTTGCGCCGATCACGTCTTCGGCTTGACGGCCTCCTCCTCCCGCTCCTTCTTTGTTCTATGAGTGACTCCTGGCGATCCCAATTGTCGGGAATGTGTGATGTGTGAAGTCTGCGTCAACGATTGCGCCTGTCTTCTCCGAGATGTCATTGATCTCGTTGATTTCACGCGCGCGGATAACGACCGCGACGGTTGATGTGATTTTGGTACGGTAGACTCTTTGGCATCCCGCCAACTGCTGCTCAAAACACGTCTTGAGAAGAACCGTCCTTGGAAAAGCAAAGAAAAGAAGATAAAACTGGCCCCATGTTCACTGCCGTGGTCCTCAACTTGTCGGAGCGACGACCGTTAAATCTCCAACAAGTCGAGAACTCAGAGAAGGGTGCTGCTTGTGTGCGCTGAATTGCTGTTTCCCAAGTCCTGGAATATCCCGAACCGTTGAAGCGACGACTATTTGATCTTCAACGAATCAGGATCCGTCTCAAGGATCTACATTTTTCCTCGTCTCATTTTTACTTGTTCTCTAGTTACATATCTTGACATTGAGATTGAAAAATGAGAGAATGTTGGAAACCGCAAAGATAGTAACGCGAACCTTCAGCGGTCCAACTTGGACGATTCTTTTTGATCTTCGTGAAGCAGATACGTGACAATTTGATCTTAGTATCGACAACCTTCCGAGTTTGAGAAGTGTGTCACTTTAGGAGAAACTGGTCTAGTGATTCGTAAACAGTCATGACCTTCTTGTAAGTAGATTTGATTTTTTTCATAAATCCTTTTATGTGTTTCTATTATATTTCGGCTATGTCTCGGAAAGTAGTCGTCGTTGGCGGATGCCATTTTCCACTTTTTCTCTCGCTCATTCTTTTGTTCTCTCTCTCTCTCTCTCTCTCTTTTTCTCTCACTTTCTCTCTCCCTCTCTCTCTCTCTTTCTCATCATCGTCATCATCATCATCATCATACAAATTCAATATGATCTCTTAGTACGGTGCGCCATAGGAGCCGGATGGCCTGCTAGGTGCTCCGTATCCCGTGCTGGGTCCGCTGGGATAACCTCCTCCAGATCCTTGACTAATCTGGTTGAATTGGGCTACCTGAATAGCCTGCCTGATGCCCTCGAGATCAATACCTACGACGCGAGTCTGATAACTGGGCACGCCGTATTGTGGGGATGGAGCACCATAGCTGCTCGATGGAGCACCATAGCTAGAGCTAGGTGCGTATCCACCACCTGATCCACCACCGAATCCTGATCCGCCACTCTGTTGCTCTTCCTTCAGGAGAATTTGACGGATTTGTTCAAGCAGTGCTCCATCTACAGAGGCACCTTCGTTGGTCTGGTAGCCGGTGGACACTTGGGTATAACCGCCACCGCCCCCGCCACCGCCACCGCCACCCCCAAGGAAGCCGCCGAAACCTCCACCACCGGTAGGTCTGTTGTAGTTGTAACCGGAGGACACAGGCGCCTCGGCTAGAGCGAACCCTGCCAGACCGACAATTATACACTGTAATAAAAAAATTGAACATATTACTTTGCAAAAACTGTAAAAGTTTGAGAAAAGAGTTACAAAAACTTATTTTCTGAAATTATTTTTTTTCCTTAAAAAAAGTAGAAAAGAAAAACAATTAATTATAATATCAAACTCATATTATTTAGATATTTTAAGTTTATTATTTTTAAAGTCTTTCTTTCTCTCTCTCTTTCTCCCTTTCTGTCTAACAGTTCTATTTGTTATGTTAAATTTTCTTCAACAAAAAGTTTAGATTAGAAGTAATCGTTAAAATACAAGAAAAAAATCATCATTAACCGCCTATCACCGCTTAACGTGAAAATCACACGTCACAGAAAATGACGGTATATAGGTAACGATGATATGCAATCCAGAATATCAGCATTCGTTGTTTTCTTACTGATCAAGTTGTCGATCACTTGATCTTCTTTACACTTCTTCACGATTTCTCGCGCGCACATTTTCCCGTTCGCTTTCTTTTTTTCAGTTTGGTTTGTTCTCTTTTTTTGTTGTTTCTATCCGCTTCACACCATTTCTTAATGTTAATAACTATGAAAAAAGCGTGCTTACCGCGATCAGAGGATTCATGTCGGCTTCTGCGATGCCGCTCAGTTCTGTGACTCCGTGGAAGGTAGACCGGAGTCATTTATACTCCCGGGAGAAGCAGGGGGCTTCACATGGTGCCCCCACGAAAGAAGAGACGGGGGGACTTCTCGAGTGAGAGTAATTCACTTGTGAGACAATTCTCTCCCTCCTTTTTCTCGATTTCGTTGCTTCTCTTTTTCTCCACCGAGTTCTTACGTCGAGTCATCCTGTTTGCCAGGAATCGCCGGTGAACTCGAGATTTGGACGATGAAATCTTACGAAACCCGACCTCTTTCGATACTCAAGCAGCAGATCCCTGCTTGTGTCCTAGACCTAGACTCGGTTGGTCGAAACGACTCCTTGTCGTAACGACTGTCTCAGAAAGGACCTTGCCTTAGCCACCTGCTAGGCTATGTATATATTTTTCTTTTTTTAACAATGACAGAATATGAGCAGTTATGAGATATAGTCGGAGATAATGTACGAATAAACATAACTTGATATACGTTATAAGTTACGAACAACCGTCAGTTTGTGAAATTAATTTTCGAAGTTTTTAGACATAAATTACATATTGCAATATAAGAATGTATTGTATCTACTAACATTATCAAGTTTTATATTTTAACAAAGTACATTTTACAATAAGTCCAAGTTCATAAAGATTTTTGCTTTCTAATTTAGTGCATTCTCTTTGCATTTCTCTGTTATTTATTCTACGTTATAAGTTGTTATTGTAAGATAATTTAGAAACTGATATTTGTTGTAAAAATTATCTAGTATTCAAGAGTATTGTAGTGACACTACGTTGCATCCATATTTGAAAACTACTTCTTATCTATCGAGTTTTATTTTTTAATTGAATAGTTTGTTGCAACACGTCAGAGAATTTTCGTAATTTATTGAAAATTTGATTTTTATATCATTATGTCACACATAAAATAAAACGAGAAACGATTCTACTTGTTGATAACTTTGCGTTAATTATATAGCGAATTTATGTGGCTAACGTATGTTAATACTGTAGGTTCCTAAATACAGGCGCATATTTTATTTCACTAACGTTGCGAAGCATCACGTAACAGGAGTTGAACTAGAAGAGGACATTATGTAACAAAGTTTCTTTGTTCGTGCAGTATATAGTACCGGATGTGCACCGAAGCATTTCCTCATCGAACATTTCTGTTAATTGTTTCACGCCGTAAGAGAAAGATTTCCGTTTTTTTCAAAAAACATACTTTTACTATCAACTATTTCAAAGAAGTTTATTATCTCTTGCAAGATAATAAGAGCCCAGTGGTTCTTATTGCATCTTGAATTAATCATTTTAAAGAAAGTATACAGTATTTCAGCGTTGAGGTCTTATATGATTGACAAGCACATTACTCTAGATTCAACTAGTGACTAGTATCTAAAAAAAGATCAATCAAGAGATGAATATATTTTCCAATTAATATTTTCAGCAAGAATATAACTAAGCAGCAGTTTTCTGTTAATTGAGATATGACTAAACCCTTCTCATCGCGAAATATTTTCATCCAGTCTAATTGATATTCTATAATCATCTCTATAATTCAGTGTATTTTGTTTTTCACCAATTTTGTTACAAAATACAAAATAGTCGAAGATAAAACTCTTTTAAAATCTACATTGAAAAATATAAATTTTGCGAATCGAGTTTTCTACAAAGACGATACAAAGACGATAAATCATTCGTATTTTGTCATTTGTAAGGGTTGCGTCTAAGCGAGATTGAACCGTGAAGTGCACAATTATCCGGCGTGAAGTCACGAACTCTCTGATCGCTGTAGAAGTAGAAAGGTTAGAGAGAAAAGTACGTGCTTTACCATCATTGTATCATCTACGCAGTAAAGCTTCCGTGCGTTCGATTCGACGTAATCGTCGATTTCGTGATAAACGCATCATTAACAAGCACAACGTTGCGACATTAAAGTTCTCAGTGCATCACTTCAGAGCTGTTACTTGTTCAGATAATCTCTTTTATAATAATAATAATAATTTTATAGTCCATTTTTTTAAGTAGGTTTTACTTGTTTAATAGACACTTTTTTAAATGTCTATGCTTATTATATTTCGCAATCATTACATAAAAATAAAGAGAATACTAGATTTCAATAGGAATTCATTTTGCATATATATTCTACAATTTATGTTTGCAAAGTTATATTGTTTGGTTGCAATGACATTGTGAAGTTACATGACATTTGTGAAGTGTATGATAGTAAAACTATCAGCTTCTTCGGATCTTAACCTGGCGATTGTATGGTTATTAATGTCTAAACTATAATTAGAGGAGAATTCAACTTGTGTAGGATATTTGTCACAAAGGTGAGAGATCTGAAGGCGTCTGGAGAAGGAAGTCGATTACAGGTGATCTGGCAACACAGCGTTTGGTCAGAATATCCGGCTTCCATCCTCGAAAGAGACTTGAAGAGGGATAAGAGGTGGGAGGGTGATGGTACTCACTAAACGAGAGGGAAAACACTTTCTTCAGCAAGGAATTTAATTATCTGGCTTGTGAACTCTCGGCCCACTTCTTCATGACGATCTGATGTATCTGGTCCGCCAGCCTTCCGCAACATCCTTTTCTGTTTTGCTTCTACATTTGATCTGACTATTCTATACTTTGTTTTGTTTATAGAATATGTTATATTCGCGCGATTTAGACTTTTTTCTTGACGAAACAAAAGTCTGACATGAGTTTTGACGATTATTTTCACGTGTTCTTGCTGTGTTTGTTCGTTCTTGTTAATAAAATACACATAACTGTGCAACCGGAGAAATGCAATTTTGGCGCATGTACGTATAAACGTGTTAATTTAAACTTTTTTCACGATCTTGCTTCTACCTCCGTTGTATCAGCGGCATTATATTCTGTTACGTAAAGATCACAAACAGCTGCGTTTCCTGACCTGAGTTGGCATATTCGGTTTTACGCTGGAGAACGAGATCTTTAATATATACATGTATATACATATGTATAAAATAAAAATATATATATTTTTTATATTTACAACACTAACTTATTCTTCAATTTCTTGACTTTTGAGACATAACAAATCTGATCTTTATGTAGATTACAACATGCTGAGAGTTTTGTTGGTAAAAATATCACGTACTTGTAGTTGCACAAGTTTGCAGTATTGAGTGAAGGATCTTGAATTAAATTTTATATATCACAAATATTTAGTTACAAAAGGAGGCTTAATTGTTTTTTTTTTCACAATAAAAATAAATCAAAAATTATTTTGACAAAAATTTTTATGTGTAAATTTTTTTGTATGTGTAAATTTTTATCTGTAATCTTGATAATAATTAAATTGGTGGTAAAATAATTGTTGGATACTACTTTAAATCTCGAATTGTCATTAATAACAATCATTACAACATCTGAGGAATGGATATTTTTTATGTTTTCTATACACATACTCTTTCAGGAAATAGACATGACATTTGTTTATAGAAATGTGCGTCAATGATAAAGTTAAATTTCTGAGTAATTTACAAATATACATGTTTTTAACTAAACTTCCTGATAAATAAAATTTTGTTTGTTATAAGTTAAACAAACGGCTTAAAAGATTGAAAAACTTAATGAGATCAACAAGCTGGTGATCCGCATTGTTCCTTATTTACTAGTATTTTTCATACATTATCTAAGATTTTAATACACAATTATTTACACACACACACACACAATATGTATTTATGAACTTTTGTGTTATTTAAATTACTTTCTTTAGTATATTGTTCAGAGATTTTAGTTAGCTCGTTCGATGTCCGTAACAGCAAAACACGAGAGAATATTTCTTGTTTTAGAAAATAGTCCTAAATCATTTAGCGTCAATAACTCAACTGTGAATAATAAAATAATAAATATATACACATACGCATGCTACGACAATATTGCCTTTTGAATGCGTAATAATTTACTTTTGTGAATTTCGACACTGATCGAAAAAGAGAAAGCAAACAAATACGCGAATCGTGGAAATACAGGAGTCATTATCTCGCCATATTAAAAGAAATACGCAACAGTTTGTGCAAAATATTACTAGTAGCATTTTATTTCTTAAGGATAAAAATGATGGCGCAGAGAAAATAATGACGTGTAACATTGCAACGGTATTTCGATCGTATATATTCGATGATCGTAAGATTTTGTCTCGCAACGATTAATCACCATAATCTCCACTCAAAATTCTCACAATGATATAGCGATGGATGATTATGACGATCATGGATAATTTATGGATTCATGGGAGTTATTGCTAATCTTGATATTTTTTGACAAAAAGTTTTGATGATCTTGGCTTTTCACGCTGTAGATATACGTACATCACATTTTCGTCTGCTGTTATCTAAAGATCTATGTTATAGTTATTAATATATGTATAAATAAAAGATGTTTATATTTAGTAAAGATCATTAATTACTAATACATACAAGATGTAGTGGATATATGATTATTCTTTGTTACCAAAAAAATTTAATCCTGAATAATGTATATAAATTTCTACATAGTTTCTCTCCCTCTCTCTTTTTCTCGTTTAAAAACAAAAAAAACTTAATCTATAGATCTCTATCTATATCCGCGTATATCGTCGTCGACAGTTGTCGTATCACAATTTTGACTTCCTCGATAGGCAAAGCAATCGGCGACTATCGATCTTGACGATTTGGGGTTATAGCTCGAGCTTCTCGAGTCACGTTCCGATGTGTGCTGCATCCGAGTTTCTCGGATATTAATGTTGCAAAATCGCGCGGTACGAAAGGAAATCTGCTGAACTCGAGCTTGACTTTCGCTCGGACATAGTATCCGAGTTTCTTCTTTCTCTTCTTCTTCACGTTATTCACTTCGTCGTTCTCGTTCTCATCCGCATCGCGTGAATCTTTCTCTCCAACAGTCGCGACGCTCTACTCGACTTCGTTGAGCACGAGCTTCTCTTTAATTTTGTCAGACTTGAATTGCGTTGAATTCTCGTAAAAAAAAACACGTATATACTCGGCCGTGGTGTTCTTAACAATTAAAGACTTGACCCATACTAATTTGT